ACAACGTTAGTGTGTTAAATATATTTTGATTTATTCAAACATGATGATAATATAACACAAACATGATGATAATATAACATTTCTTACTCGTTGAATGGAAAGTTTTCACTAAGGTACAAAATTTTTCAACGAATTTCTTTTAAGGGTGTTGATTTAAATAATTCACAGCCACTGTCATTTTAAAAGAAGACGGAATCTCGACTCCTAAGCCTCACAGACATAGCTAATAATAATAATATTAACAAACAAAAAATACTTGTATTGCCCACTCATGTTTTTATTACTCGAGGAACCAACTTTAAGATTAAGATAGATAAAGTGAATGTTGTTTGTGTGTTCGTTTTTCCATTTAAGTGTTAGCTTGACGGTTAGCACGCTGGGCTGCGGATTTCATAGTCCAAGGTTCGATCCTTAATGCTGCTTAACACGTCCCCCACTTTCAGCTGTGGTCGACATGGCCAGATGGTTAGGGCACTCGACTCGCAGTCTGAGGGTCGTGGGTTCGAATCCTCGTCCCACCAAACATGCTCGCCATTTCAGTCGTGGGGACGTTATAAAGTGACAGTCAATCCCACTTTTCGTTGGTAAAACAGTAGCCCAAGAGTTAGCGGTGGGTGGTGATGAATAGCTGTCTTCCCTCTAGTCTTTCATTGCTAAATTAGGGACGGCTAGCGCAGATAACCCTCTTGTAACTTTGTGCGAAATTCAAAACAAACCACTGTGTACGCGTTCATAAGTTACAGTCAATTCTGTTAATTCGACTCCAGGGCCAAAGTGAATTCTTAGTGGCAGCGGTGCCCCTCTTCTGTCCAGTTGTTCAAAATTAATGATAACTATACCTGACCTTTAGGGTTTTCTGACCTGGCCGTTTAGCGCATGTCCGTACAAAGTACCGTTCTGATTGAAAATACAAGTACCCAAGTTCTTCATAGAAAAACAGTAATGGTAGCGATCTAAGAGTATATTTTCTACCGATCACAAACTTCAGTATGTTTTAAATGTCACAAAAGCATCATTCGAAGTAGAATAAGATACTTATACAATAAAAGTCTTCTCTATTTTACGAAACACAAAATTCGAAAGAATAAGAGGAGAGATGCTACTGCATGTGGTAACTATAGAAACCGACTTTCGGGATTAGATTGTATTATAAGTAAAAACGTTTGACAAATAGGGCATAATTTAGAAAATAATATATTTACATTTTTATATGCAAGCCAAGAAATAGTTTGTTTAAACTCAAAAACTAAGTTAAAGTTATTCCTTAGTAATCTCTATGGTCTTAAAGACACTTCTGTGAATCTTAGAAAAGGTCATTGGCCGAAAAATAGGATATTGCTTAATGTTACCATGACGACGGAACATGAAGCTCCACGAGTTGGGAAAGCTGCTTGCAGCTCTTTAACGGTCTTAAGGAAGATCACACTAAACTTTCAGATATTATGCGATAAAAATGCGTAACTTCTCGTGTTTGGATTTGTAACATTTACTCTGTATGTTTAAAATGTTTCTCAGTAGTCGAAATTTGCTCGATTCAGAAGCACCATCTCTTGTTATATTTTTTAGCTTATGCATTTTCCTTTTTTTCTTTTCTTCGAAGTCTTTCACTAACGCTTACAGAAGGCTTGCTTGTTTGTTTCTTGAATTTTGCACAAACCTAATCGAAGGCTATCTGCACAAGCTGCCCTAATTTCGAAGTGATAGAGTAGAAGGAAGACAGCTGGTTAATACCACCCATCGCCGACACATAGGATACTCAAATCGAGTAGTGGTATTTGACCGTTACTCTTATAATGTACTCACGACCCCAAAATACAGAGCACAACTTTATTTGGCGGCGAAACGGGACGCCTACCACTGAATTTAGGGTCCAAAGTCTGGCACGATAATCACTGGGCCGCACTCGGCCCTTAACTACACAATGAGCTATCTGAAATTTGTTCAGCGCAGGGGAGCAAACCCCGATTTTTATAGAAGGATTCTTTAATATACGAGTAAACTCTTAAACGCCAACTCATATTATTCACACAATACAATTGTACACAAATTCGAAGATTAAAGCTTTATATAATATATATATAACTATCCATCATTTAACTTGTTTGTTAACCCCCCCCCCCCTGCGGACACATATAGCCCATTGTGTAGCTTTGTACTTAACTTCAAACAAAAAAACTTGTTTGTTTTTCATACAACATTTTCAGAGCTTCGGAATCTTATGTTTTGACATGGTTTGAAAATTTTGCATTTTTTTTATACGCGAAAGTTTACCAGTAGTACATGGCTGTTGCATTCAATCCCAAGCTGCGTTTTTTCATGCTGTCTAACTTATGTATAATCTAGTGACACCTGACAGTGGAATGCATAATTTATTGTTCTTACTAACGAGCGTGTAACATCCAAATAGGATACGCTTGTCTTACAACATTAGTAAATCTATAGGTTCATAATGTATCTGTCACTTTAACTGAATTTAGACATTTTCTTACAGGGCTACCTTCAACTTAAAATTCTTTCCTTTTTTCACCACTCTGATTGTAGTTATGATTTTGGAAATGAAAAAAAAACAAGGGCTGAAATGATATTTAAAAATATTCAGTTCTTTTTTTGGCAACTTGATTCCAAACTAAAGTAATTCAAAATGTAAAAAAAAAAAATATTCTAAATGATAAGCCACCTGTCAAAGTAAAATTAAGGTTTGTTAGAAACATCATAAGCAGTGAATTTGTTGTTCAAAACAACCGAACTTAATGGTTGTTTTTTCCTGAATGTTGAAATCGATTTTGAAAAGTATCAACTGTTTAAGTTTAATTGTTCAGTTAGAATATTGAAATCTTATAAGAAAAATTCATTATAGGTTTATGTTTTTTTATGTACTTGGTTTGTGGAAACTGACTTTATTAATTCGCAAGCTACTCTTTAGATTGGCCTACATAGCTTAATTTGAACAGAATCTATTGATAATTATTAGCCAGACATAGGATCAGAATTAAAGATACCTTATTACATTTGCTTTAAAGTTATTTAATTTCAAGATGACGTTTAACTTCGGGAAGTTTTGTATTAGTGAATCATTCTGTCTGTTTATAAAGACAAATGTAATGTTATCTGAAAGATGAGACATAACTGATGGTTAACTGTTCTTTTAGTGTTGATAACGTTACCTGTGTCATTTCTATTTTGTGTAAATTAGTTTGACATATAATGCCTGGTCACTTTATTAGGACTTATACATACTACGGGTTGATGTACCTTTTCTCCCGAATGACAAGCAAGAAACGAAGATGTATAGATTTCACGAGGTGCTGGAAGGTCCAAGAAACGAAGAGGTATAGACTGCACGAGGTGCTGGAAGGTCCAAGAAACGACGATGTATAGACTACACAAGGTGCTGGAAGGTCCAAGAAACGACGATGTATAGACTACACAAGGTGCTGGAAGGTCCAAGAAACGAAGAGGTATAGACTGCACGAGGTGCTGGAAGGTCCAAGAAACGACGATGTATAGACTACACAAGGTGCTGGAAGGTCCAAGAAACGAAGAGGTATAGACTGCACGAGGTGCTGGAAGGTCCAAGAAACGACGATGTATAGATTTCACAAGGTGCTGGAAGGTCCAAGAAACGAAGAGGTATAGACTCCACGAGGTGCTGGAAGGTCCAAGAAACGAAGAGGTATATACTCCACGTTCCAGAATGCAGTGCGCATAATAATAAAAAAAAAAAGAAAACACCATATGCAAGGTCTGTGAAATGTACTCTCCATAAACGTGAAAGCTTATAAAGGGTTGGGATACGTAAACCGTACACGATCCCTACGAATTTTTGACGTTGTCTTGCTTAGAGTAATGGCAGACAGAAGAAAGTTAACCCAAATGTGTTGGGCCAGTTTGAAGTATGGTAGTGAAAACTTCACCATGGCCACATGACGGTTTCTTGAAATCATGATAAAAAACGTTTGCCATGTTCTGTCACAATTTTCCATTAACTTGAAAAATTGCAAGTGTTGTACTCATGTTCAAAAAATACACATGACCAAGGATTGTGATTTCTTCACGCATTGATTTTATGCAGTTCCAGCAGCCTACAATTTTTTTTTCTCTTAGATTTGTATAATTTAAATCATTTTTGCTTCTTACATAATATAAGACATTAATTTACCTCACCGAGTTCCCTAGCAGAGCATGTGGGACTCTCGCTTTCAAGGGGTGTCCGATACTTTTGACACATACTTATTACCCTGTGTGACCTATATTTAACAGCATACTTTTCACAATTTTGATTATCTTTTATCTCCCTGTTTTAGTTAAGTCAAATACCTTTCACAACAATACACGATGGTTTAGGTGTGAACTTAGGATGTGGTTAATCTAACCGTATACTGATGTTAATAAGGTCAACCCAACAATGATGCTGATAATATCAAACTAAACGAATAATGATGTTAATAAGATAAACCTGACATAGTTTTTGATCAAATTCATCTGAGTGGTAATAAGACGAATATATTTCTTATTTTATGTTGGTGTCGACAGCTGATTTACGTGCATTTTCACACGTTAGACATTTTTACTTTAAGTTGTAATAATATGTACATTAATGTAAATTCAAAACATCAAACAGAATAATGATAATAAGAAAGAGGGCTCTATTAAAACCATCATTTTATGAAATTCGCTGCTGATGCAATAGAAAGATATTTTAAAACTTGATCACGTATTATTAATAATAGCAACGTTTAATCTATTAAATTATTCAGATTGGTATGAATTACGATTCTAAATTCTTGATAAACAGAAGATTTACTGTAAAATGAGGATATATAGTATTTTCTTCTAAAATAATTTGAGCTTTACTTCATGTTTTCACATTAACATTTAGAAAAATGCAATGTAAATCAATAAACCATTCAAACGTATATCTGAGTTAAGGAGAATTGAAATTTACTATGAATTATTTGATTTGAACACTTTGTATAAAATGTATCCAAACTCAGAGAAGAAGAGGACAATTAAACTACTGGTGGCTAACATCTGAGTTCTACTAAAGACAGAGAAATTCTGATTGGTTTAAAATCGTTTACATGTACACAGATTGGATATTTAGTTCGGCCAATCATACATCATCAATCAAATCGTTGGTGTTCATCTTGTTCACTTGATTAGCTTTTGAAAGCGTAGATTTTCTCAAAAGGGTTCTTCTTGTGAAAGATCTCAGCCTCGTCGCAGAACCTTCAACGGAGCTTCTTCCCGGACAGGCAACGTTTTCTGTGGTTTTCCGGCAACAACACAAAACCTTACGAAAATACCGCTTAAATCTGGAAGGAAAAATATTAGTTTTAAAGACTAGGCTTAACAAGATTTTCCATATCGTAATTTATAACACATCGTTCCCTGAATGGGTTTCCACTAAGTGGAATTTTATAGTTTAAAAGTGACAGAGGATAGTAAAATAAAAGTAGTAGCACGTGGTAGAGCGTAGTAATCTATGCGTTATGAGTGTTAACAATAAAAGTGTATTATGTGTATAAATTTTACTGACTAGTAATTATCAACGGTCGTTATGTGTAGATTAACGGAGACTTAGCTTGAATGTTTAACTGTCGTGCGTTCTCAAAAAACGTATAAAAATGCATAGCACAAACTTTAACGATTTTATTACGTTAGTCTATGTACCTTGTTCTGCTATTATGAACAATATATTTACAGTTAACTTGGCTTTGCGTTCAGAGGATAATGATGCAATAAAATAGTAATCAAAACACAGTATGAAACTCTCGGGGATATTCACGAGACTGCTGTTCTTTTGAGGATGCGTAACGTACGAGATCGAAGGTAATAATGACTCTCAACTCCAGCAAACGCACCGAATTATAAGATCGAGTAGAATCAACCTTGCTTACTTGAAAAATCTCTCTGATTATTCACACTGATTCCCTTCACAGTGGTCGTTAAGCAACATATAATTAGGATAGTATAATCATATTACAAGTATCGTTCCATTACATGTTATTTATACTCTATTAGCTGCTACGTATTGCAATTTTGAAAGATCTGAAACAGAGTTAATGATACTTTAAATTTAGTAGTTAAATTGTACTTTGGATTTAGCAGTTAAGTAAAAGCCGATATATAGTCAGTTTATGATATTTGTCAACAAGATTGATACACACAGTTTTCTTTTTTTGAACACAAATATGTTTTGATATGCAAACAAAAATACGATTTACAATAACAGTTATTACAAACAATGATTTATATACAAAAATTTTACAAACTTACAAGCAATACAAAGTCTTCTTTCTAGTCTGGAACTTCTATGATATCTTATCGAGGATTCACGATGACCGTTTACGAGTTGACATATGTATAATTCGCTTAACGGAAAGCTAGCTAGCTTTGTCCTTCGTTATTCACCAGCCACACACGCCGAGAGTTTCGCCGTTGAAGTTAGGTAATGTTTTGTAAAACTAAAAGTACTAATGTCGGATGAGAATCCACTGAAGTTAAATGATTTGTAATGTTCGAATATTGTAAATGTTCCTGGTCAAATATTTGAAGTTTTCCGATTGATAAGCGTTCTAACAATCACAGTTATAGCTTTCAAAGTTTATAGCACACAGACTATAGCAAACTAATAATAGATACTCCTTTTTGGCGCGTAGCGTTGGTTATATTTATAGGCGTGTTTCGGGTCTTTCTCGAAAATTCAGAGTACGTAACAATACAAAGCTACATTTAAGTGTTTACGTACATACATATATTGTTGATTCTTACTCTCGAGAATATTCTACAACTTTGGAGAATAGGCGGTAGTTTTGTAATACATATTTAACACTAAGCTATGTATATTTCTGAATATAAAGTTAATCTAAACAAACGTTGATATTAAAATAAATATATGACAATAAATTTGTCACATATCATATTATAATAATACCAAGGAATAACACACTAATAGTAAGAAATAATAATTTAATTGATCATTTACAGTTATATATAATTAAGAATTCGCTGCAAAAAATATACATATTTACTTCATAGCAGAAATATATCAAATTTTATTCTTGTTTTCAACATCTTTCAAATTATTTTCAAGTGAAGAATGCTTAAAATATCACTATTTATAATAATGCAGTTATAAAACGAAGTACGTAATAAGAACTCTTCGGTGCTGTAGGTTACACACTTCAAATCAGTGATAGAAAAGTATTCAATCGTGTGTCCATTTTGCGAAATGTCGTCCTGTCGGTTTGTTATTAATGTTCTTCTTGATCTAATATGTGTTCTCTTGCCCTGTCATTGAGTTTGCGGCCAGTATGTCTAACGAAGAGTTGTCCACATTTGCGGCAGATTACGCAATAAACCAGACAATGTTCAGACGATGGTTAATGCTGACGAAAGACAGTTGTTCGAAATTAAACTGCTTTTTTCTTTTTTGTAATTTGTTTAGTCTGATCCTTCATTTTCTATATTCCAATTTGCCACTGACGTGGATTTTCTTGTGTTTATTAATACAATGTTTTGGATACCAAGTCTTTGGATGTAGCAGTAGCATAGTACGTCTAAATAAATTCCTCACTTGCACAATACGGGTTTCCAAAAAGAAGAGTATGTAACAACATTTAAACCCCACCTTAATTTCCGTATGTCGCTGCCGATAAGACCTTTCGATCAATACCAGAACTCAACAGGCCGGCTGAGCGCGTAACAAGATGGATAATAACATTAAATCTCAGTATTAAATTGTTGATGTTTTTACTGCAAAAGCTACACAATTAGCTATCTGCGTGCGCTTCGCCCAACGCGTGTAAACGAACCCCGGATCTTAGCATTGTAAGTCTGGAAGCTAACCTCTGACCTACCACGGTAGAAGTATTAAATGCTTCAGACATACTAATAATTTGACATAGGAAATGTTAAGCCATTAGTTGAATCACATAATCAAGGCAACGTAGCGATGTTATGTATTAATATTCTGTTTCTTTTTTCTAGCAATTGAGCAACTCAACAAAAGTTTCTTTTGTCACTAGACATAGACTATTTTAGGATGGAAATGAAATGAAAATCACGGGAAAGTTACAAAAATCAAGTGTAATTAAAATAATTGTTAATATTTTATCCACAATAAAAACTCCGCGTTTGGCGACATTGAGTGATAATTCCGGGATGAAAATTATCCTCTACAGACTTTGGATCTAGGTTAGAGCTAATCTAGGGATAAGATACCGTAGTTGAATTAAACAGACTGATGAGTGATAATTCCGGGATGAAAATTATCCTCTACAGACTTTGGATCTAGGTTAGAGCTAATCTAGGGATAAGATACCGTAGTTGAATTAAACAGACTGATGAGTGATAATTCCGGGATGAAAATTATCCTCTACAGACTTTGGATCTAGGTTAGAGCTAATCTAGGGATAAGATACCGTAGTTGAATTAAACAGACTGAATTAAAGCAGATTATAAATAATGTATTATATTGCTGGCTTAGCATATGGATTTAGGACCAACCTAAATCTCTTAAGCTGGTTGAAATTCGTGAGATATTACTGGGATTACGGCCGAAAATATCACTAACAGTTAAGTTACCCAGCTGATGAAACAATGTATTAAAACCTTTATAAATAAGAACACAATAATAGTAAATTGAATTAGCTGTACTTATTACTAGATTGATTTTTAGGTCTGATCTATGTAAGTGGTTAGGAAGTTATTTTATAATTACATTTATTATTTCATGGCCGTTCACGAAGGTATCTAGTGGTTTGCTGGAGATGAAACAAAATGTATGTTTTACAAAGTTGTACAAAACGAGTTGGAGAATTATTTTTTTTAATTTTTCCTACGCGATGCTTTTTAACAATGGGAGCCAGTAGTAACTTCTCCTTACCGGAAATGACTATAAAGTGTCCATCCCAGTGTATGTTTATAAAGTGCAGACGTTTTAAGTGCCAATTTAAAGTTCTGGTTTAAAAACAAGCGGTTCTTTTAGTATACCAATTTATTGGAAAAATCATATAACAATTTGTAATGAAAATATAAAGCGGTAAGATGGATAACCATTACTATAATGATAATAACAACTAGCAGAGACCCGCAAAATATTTCCGGCCAAATTAGTATCTTTATCGTAACAGTACTACTATAAATATATATCATTTCTAGCACAATACAAACGAATTGTAATGTAGACAACGAAATGTGTAAATCCACTTGTATATAGGCCGTACTTTATAAAACTTTAACTTATGTTAGGCTTAAGTTCTATAAAGAGATAAATTAACACTGTAACCAGCGTAGGTTTTTTGTTTGTTTTTATTTTAGTTAGGACTAAACTTTACTTAATACTATCGATAAATATACTTATAATGTTATTCT